ATCTCTATAAAATCTCTTCCGTAATTTTTCAAGTAATATTTTTCTTTTTAATCAGAATCGTTCTTCCATTAGATGATTTTAAAGAATTTTTTTCATTTTCAATTCTTCTACTCTCCCAGAAGAACTAAAATTTTTGAGAAATATTATTTCTCAATTAAATTACTTAAAAATATCGAAGATTTCGGTCCAGAAATTCCCCAATATTCTAATAAAAATTAGAAATATTCGAGAATTCCTCTAGAACCTTCACGACAAATATTCGGAAAAAAAAAGAGTCCAGCCGAAGCGCTTACTACAAAATCAAAATATATCCTAACACGTATATGAATAAAGATAGATTCTGAAATCCTAGTAGATTGAAAATAATAAGAATAAAATAAAAATGTATGTGTATATATATATATGTATATATTTTCAAGTGTAAGAATTAATATTGTTAATACTTTCTATGAAAAATTGTCATTATTCACAGTCAGAGTTTGTATAAATTAAATCTATCTGGTGTAAATAGTCAAATCAAGTATATGTCTTTAGTATTTCTAAGGTAATATGAATATATTCAGTTCTAGAAGATGATTTAAGTTTTTAGTTTACATCTTTCATCTTAATTTATGGCGTATAATTGGTAGAAATACAGATCTTTTTGATTAATTTCGCGAATTTCACCGAGAAGTTGCATGCCATTGCATCGGCTTCTGCTCAGCGGCTGAGCTCCATTGAAAATGCAGGAAGCATGTCTTCGACAGGTCCCCCAAATTCAGCTACATACCCAGGCCTCAGCACATTTCCAGCACAAGCAACAACATCAGACCAATTGGGCATGTTCAGTGCTGAGAGCGAGGCATTACCAGGGTCTCCTCGAGAACACCTAAGAAGTAATCCTCCCCGAAGCGTAACAAGCGTTATCAGCACCTCTTTCTTGCCGAGGTGCTCTGGAAACTTTGTCGCAGAAGCCTCCACCGGCGCAATGCCTTGTCGCCCCAACAAGTATTTCGCGGGTCTCCGTACGAGTATCAAGACCGGTTAAACAGCTGAGCAAGGCATTTTCGCACAATTGGACTTAAGTCTTGGGGCCTCGATTTGAAACCTAGCAAAGCAGACGAGGCACACGAGAAACCCAAATGCAACGAGGTCGAAAGCGTTTTCGCACAAACATGCGTGGCTCAGTCTTTGATGTGATCTGGACAATTCTGTGGAAACGGCTCTCGCATCCCCAGCTCCGCCAAACAAACAATCTCAGGAGCTAAGTCACCGAACTTTGTTTCGAGACGTTACACAGTGCAGGCGTGAAGCACAAGCCTTCCCATGAGTAACCCGGCGCTGCTACGCGTTCGTTCAATACTAGAACATCGTGGTCGTTTCCCATCAGTTGCTTGCCAAATGGCGCTGCAGTTGTCGCACGACTAGTGCCAAATATCCTTCTAGTCGTCGGCCAGCATCTGCGGAATTCAGGAGCTCTTCCAACAAGCTGACGTCGAGCTTGTCATAGATCCTCTTCTCCGTGATGCCGCGAACCTGCAGCATCAAATAATTCAGAGATACATGTAATCTGTGGCTCTAACCTGCATAGACCGGTGCCTGGGGGTTTTGATGTCCAGGAAAATCTTCTGCTTGTTGCATGAGTTCCGGGCTTCCTTCTTCAGCAACAACCGAGCCGTCTGCATCACAGAAATCCTGCAAGATCAACTGCAACTTGGGCAACGGCACTGTGAATCTCGAATGTGACCCGTTGCCGAATCTGCACCGACTATTCATCCTACACGCGTGCATACATGTAGGCCCACAAAAATGCCTTGAAACTGCGCCATACTGCATGCATACTTGGGTGCGTGCCGCCAACTTTCCTGCTCGGCCTCCACCTTTGCCGTTGTCTCCCCATGTTGGACGGCCCGGCTGCCACCACGAAGATTGCGGGGGGTCAAAACTTATACTTTTGTGTACAATCCCTCAAAGTCTTCCTGTATTTCGACTTGCATCTAGATCGGCGGGCATCCCGGTATCTTCTGCAAAAGGGAAACGGGAGCTGCAAAACCGTTTTGCACTGCGTGCTCGGATGAGCCGTTGCTTGCTCGTTTGGGCGGACGAGGCCAGACCAACTAAAATTCCAGCCTCGAGCCCCGCAGAGTTGGCTGTGTGCTGCAACCAAACGGCCAGCCACCTCGAACGGGCCACTCGTTTCGAGCCCTAATGCAAGACAGAATCCACGCTGAATCAAACGAGGGGTTGAACGCAGTAGACCATCATCTCCAACTCCTCAAAGTGCCTCTCCATAGTATGTCTGAAAACTTGCCTTTTGATTTTTTATGACAAGCCTTCACCGCTACTACATGCGACCACCATACAATCGATTCACTCGCTTGTAGAAGTCTAAGTTATCGCGAAAAGACAAGCTCTGCATGCTCGTGCTCTGCGCTGCCAATTTAACGCTCCATTAGACTCACAGACAGACAAACAAAGTTTTAATGTGACGAGCGCTAGAGAAGTGATCTACCCAGGGCTCGCCGTGAACCAGCTCGTCAACCTCTGCCCGATCGTCATGGCATTTCCCAAAATCCAGTCTCAACACAAACTGCGACGACGGTCTGTGTAGCCCGAATCCCATGGGGAAAACGGGAAGCCCTGTCAGCAAACTCAGCTCCTGAATGCTTTCGTAGCAGCAGTCCAACCCATGTGCCCTGTTCCAAACCTTGCACTCCAGACGTGGCTGCTGAAACTTTCAGCGTCTTCTCTGTGACTGCACGGTGCAGGTGCCAAAGTACCACACGCGATCCCGTCGGCAAATGATCCCCTGCTGGGGGCTTTTCAGTTCCCAACCCTTTCCACGAATTTACGTGATCATGGCCCCCCCTCGGGCCCGTCACTTTTGGCCAGAGCCCTCTGTGTCTGCCGGCGCCACAGGTTGTGTCAGGCCTGGGGCCAAAAATATGCATCACACGGCCATCGCTGCAGCAGCTGGCTGTGAGCTTGCATGTGTCTCGGGCATGCCCTGGCCACCCCCTCGCGGATGAGGGCTTCGCGTGCTACTTCTCGTCGAAGTTGGTTGGGTCGTTTCTTGGAGCGACGGGCGAGTTTGTTACTTGCGAATTGCTCACGCGCCGTGTCCAGAGAAAAGGCGCCATGAGGCACCAAGCACCTTTCTGTCCCAGGGGCTTGCGCTCTGCCGAACTCCGGTTTCATAGCCGCTGATCCTTTCGCCCGGCAACTCTGCTTCCAGACTAAGGCTTTTGGCCGAAGGCCACACCGCCCATCGACTGTACGTCAATTTCAAAATGCGGAGTTGGCACACACTTCAGCGTTGTCTTTGCGTACCTGTGCTATAAACGAGGCTGTCCTCCACGGTGGTTTCTTCATATGATGTTCTTCCAAGCGTCTCTTCCCACTTAAAGTTTTTCGTGTGGTGTATTCAATTCTGCCAGGGCTTCCCAACTCGCCGCTTGCCAGAATCAATTCCAGGGGCACAATTGGGTCAAAGCCGATACCTGTCTTAACGAGTTGGAATTGGTACAACGAAGTATATGACCTAAAACGCCGAAGGTGATGGAACCCACTAAATACCAGTATCTGTCGTCGAGGCTTGGACATGCTACTTGGATATGCCATAGCATTTGCTTCTTCCAGAAGTTTCTTGTTCGTACTTGCGACATATACAATAGTGGGAGCTTTGTCATGCTTTTTCAAGATCTTGCAAATGCCCCTCAACCGGGCTGCATTTAGCTTCTTCAACATAGCAGTGGTTAAGTGAATAGTTTCTGGCCCAGGAACGTCGGAGTTTTCTACGGACAATGGCATATACACTATTAACTTCCATCTCTTTCTGGTTTGGGTTGCTTTCCAATACGCATTTAATTTGATCCAAGTGCGTCTCGCCTCTTGTAGTTTGCTCGAATTTCATGATGAGTGACCTTCTGTTAATTCAGTACCAAGGTGCGGAGATTCATGCTTTGTGGATAAGCATGTGCCGTCTCGAATGTATGGGGCCGTATAATTCATAAGTAAGGCTTTGCTAAACAGCGGCTTCCCACCAAACAATTCCGTTTAGGATTTAGGGCTTGCCGGCGGCTTCCCACAACAGCTCCTTGCAGTGTTTACTTAGGGCATAAGGCTTCCTTCCACCCAACCACCCCTTCTAGGGTTAGGGCTTGCCAGCAAACATCTCTGGTTGAATTCCCAACGAGCAGCCTTTTAGGGTTCAGGGTTTTCCAGCCATCAGCTTTGTCAAGGCTTTGCCAACCAGCATCATTTTTGTAAGGCTCATGTGTTTTCCTTTAGGGTTTAGGGAACGCTAGCAAACATCTCCTTTTTGAATTCCCACCCAATGCCTCCTTTCAGGGTTCAGGGCTTTGTCAGCCAGCGGGCTTCCCACCCAACAATCCCTTTCAGGGTTTAAGGCTTGCCAGCGGCTTCACACTCAACAATTCCCTTTATGGTTAGGCCTTTGCCAGCATCCATTGCTGCTAATGCTGAGGGCCTCGGCCTAAAGCTTCCCACCCAGCAACTCCTTTTGGGGTTGAATATCTCCGCTTTGAATTTCAATCCGGGGCCTCTTTTTGGTGTTCCAAACCTGCCATGCATCTTGCATCGCTCAGCGATCCAGACATGCATGCATGCATGCAATGTGCTCTCAGCACCCGTGGCTCTTCGGCGCATGACTTGGTCTGCAAGGTAATTGGAGTTGGTTTCGGCTTCTGCATTGCCACTGATGGGATGGTTTTGAGTTGCTTCTGCCTACCTGTCGGGCAATAGATTTGAATTGGCTAGCTACAACTTCAAAGGTTTGAAGCAGCAGCGGGCGCAGTGGAGGGTGCAAAGTGGCAAAGTGCACTCGGGGCAGTGGTCGTGGGCGGACGGTCTTTTCTGGCTTTTTTTGTGAATATCTGAGGTTACAACGAACACCACGCCTCAGTCTGGCACTACGTCGTGGGACGCTGTGGTGTGGTAGTGCCGAGGTGGTTGGCGTCGTGCTAAGAAACAGTCTCCAGCGGTGGCGCTCCCTGCCTAGTTTATTGGTGTCCTCCAGTTCCCCCGTATGCCTTTCTGCGGTCTGGTACTACGGCCTGGATCGTGTCGAGGCAGTCGGTGATGTTGTGGCTGTGAGTATGGGTCTCCAGTGGTGGCACCTCGTGTCCCGACTCTGTGTCCCCGTCGCCGTTTACTTCTGTGCTCGGTTGCCCCTCTGCGAACTGGTAGTAGGCCTCGGTGTGCAGGAGGAAGTGAGTCATATCGTCCTGGTTGCGACGTCGAAGTGTGGATGTAACCCCGAGGGTGGCGGTGCATGGTCTGCACTGGTTGTGTCCCGCGTCGTAGTGCTGCTCCGCTGGGTTCTGGTTGTCTACCCAGGGCTTGCGGTGGCTGCTGCTCGCATGTTTGAGAAGCTCTGGCAGCGCCTGCTTCAAGCGGGGTACGCCCCCGGAGGATGCTTTGTCGAGCTGGTTGTGAGGTGTGGCAGTCGTTGTTGGGCGCCACGGTCTCTCCGGTCGGTGCTGGTGCCTTGTCTCGGTTTGCTTGTGGCTTTGTGGGAGTCAGTGCTGCGCTCTTGTGTTGTGGCTCGGCCTCACACAACACGGCTGGTTGCTCTCGGGTTGTGGTTTTGGCTCAGTGGTGGCTCCGGCACGCTCCTGTTTGCCCTGCTTCAGCTTTCTCGTCTGCTTCTTCTTCTTCGCCTTGGTCTTGGAGGGTTTGGTCCATGCCATGATTTATCGAAGGCCGCATCGTTGTCGAAGTCATCGTGCTCGGCCACTGCCCCCGTCTTCCCCGATGCCACTGACGTAGAGGCGGGGTTGTGTGGTATCGGCTCAGGCGAGGGGGCGGCGGTGATGGAACTGCTGGAGGTAGTTGAGCTGCTGTCGCTACTCGCTGGGGGCTCCGACGGTTTGGGCGGTTGTGCTGTGGTGGCCTTCTGCTTGGTCAGCTTGTTTGTTGGCTTGTGCTGCGTCTGCTCTGCCGGCAGCACGGGTGTCCTGGTAGTAGGGCTCGTAGGCGTACTTTTGGTTGATCGTGCCGATGGCGAGGGAGCGGGAGTAGTAGCCGGGGTCTTCATTCGTTTTGTCTCTGGTGGTGGGGGTCGGGGGCTCTGTGCGTGGTTCCCCGGGCGTGTACTTGTCTTCGTCGTTGAGTTGGCTGTGGAAGGTCTCTTCTGCGAGTGTACGGTAATAGAGCTAGTTGGTGGGCTTCCGGCTGATCGTTCGGTAGATGAAGAAGGCAAGGTGGCCGAGTCTGGCTTTCGCAGTGGTCTCGCGAGTCCCCTGTAGTAAAGCTCGTTGGTGTTGGCTTCCGGTTGATCGTGTTGTAGACGAAGAAGGCAAGGTGACGGAGGGCGTCTAAGCCACCCCGCGACCAGGAGAGCCTACTCTTTGCTGACCCACGGCGCCCTTGCCGAGCTCACCCCCCGAGAGGGAGGACGCGGCGGAGTGACCATGGTTGCTCACAGCTTCAAGCTCATATGGGTTCCGATTTTCACGGCCCTCCAACACGTCTGTGGGCCTACCCACGGTGGGTAACTAATGGGGAGGTCTTTCAGCTTTGGTGTCTGCATCGGGCATCACAAACACTTCCCTGAAGAGCGAGAAACCCGACAGCCCGACAACAACGAGAGGCAGTGAGAATTCAGATTTCGAGCCACAAACCATGAGCCTGGAGCCATTTTAAGGTTCAGGGCTTCCCACCCACTACCCCCTTTTGGGTTTAGGGCTTTGCCACCAGCTTCTGCTTTTATTAGAGCTTTTCACCCGCCTCCTTTTAGGGTTTAGAGCTTAGCACCTCCTTTCGGGGTTTGAGGCCTTGCCGCCAGCATCAAATTCTCTGCAAGTCACTGGGGAGGTATCGCATGACTCCTCTCACAAATGCTCCATTGGGCACATATAACTCGTATAACCTTGTGCTGTAGCACATAGTTCCAACCCACAGCTCCAGGTCGCGGGCGGGAATTTGAAAGCCGCTCGGCGGAAGCAGAGCTGCAAATGTCTTGAAACAAAGCTTAACACTTAAGAGGCACATGACTTGACAACGCTGACCAGGTTTGTACTGCTCGAGGGTTTGCCGCGTGCGACGGCCATATCCAAACCCACCCAGTCGCAAACGTATTAGGGCTTAGGGCCCACCCAATACCTCCTCTTCGACTCGCATGCAAAGCAGGCATGGCTTCACGACGTCCTTGCTCGAGGAATTTAGGGTTTAAGGCTTTGCATGGCTTTGCCAGCCAGCATCTGGTTTTAGGGTCAGGGCCTTGGGCTGCCACAAATGTTATTTCCCTTTAGGGTTTAAGGCTTGCCAGCAGGAATCTCCTTTTTGAATACTCGGGGGCGTGGCTTCCTGCAACTCAGAATGCCTGTCGCGGAAATGGTTCGGGCATAAGGGTGATAGCGAGGGTCCAGGGATTCGGGTTTTGGTTTTGATGGTTCAGCAGTCATTTTCCCACCCGGACTTCTGGATTCAGGGTGGATCAGGATCTGGCGCTAGGCTTAGGGCTTGATTGTCGGGGATACGCAAGCCCCCTCCCTTCCCCCCTGTCTTCCTTTCTTGCTTCCTGCTCTTCTTCTCTGGCAGTTGTCTCGGTTTCTTCCTTTCTGTCTTCCTGCCTTCTTTCCGCCCGCCGCGCCCCCGGCAACACTCAGGGCCTCGAGGCCTCCCCGCTCAGCACCTTCCCGCACCCGCTGCAAACAAAAACATGCACGAGCGCACATTTCCGGGACCCCGCATGCACGGCGCCCCGTTACATGGGCGTGAACAATTTGGGGCAAAGTGGCCAGGCACCCGGAAGATCAGTTGTCGGCAGTCACGAAGCTTTCCAACGTCGAGGAAGAGGCAGCCATGGCAGCAGGCCGGAAAAGAGTTGGGAGATCGCAAAAACATTCTCCGGGGTCCAGGTCCATGAACCGAAGTGGCAAAGATTGCCGCCTGACATAACACTTTTCGAGCCGCAAGCTCCTAGCAAGTAGTTTCTCGTGGCGACCCCACTTCTGGGAACTGTCTCCTCGAGTTGGCTGGAAAGCCGATAGCAAAACCTTATCCTTGCGCAGCACAAAAGCACGCAACTCGTTGACCCAAGGGTGTGTTTGCCCAAAAAGGTGAAAGTCGTGTTGCAGCATGTGAGCCTGCATGCTGCATGCCTGTGTTTCGTGGTGAGGACAAGCAGCCGGGAAGCTTGCGCGGCTTTTCCATATGCCCAAGGGAAGATACTAGGCAACGGCTCCCCTTTCTCGAGTGTTTTAGGGGCAAGGTTTAGTTCGCCGAGCTCCACACTACGAAATCGCTCTCTGCTTCTCTCTTTCTCTTTCCTTCGCCAGGGCTAGGGTGGGGAAGGCCAGGCCCCCTCCTCTCCCTCTCTACGGAGGGTCCTGCTCCTGCTGTCCGTCGTCGCCTCGGCAGGGCAAAGCGACCCACACATGCTCAAAGGCCTTAAGAGGCGAGCCTGGGATTGGAATCTCCGTGCACTCGTCTTTGTCGCGTTTGTCGCTCTCGCGTGACTCTTTCTTCACAGCCTGGGCCTGGCCGAGAAAAACGGCACCAAGGGTCTAAAGCGGAGACCAAAAGCTGCACCACGGGCCTCTTTGAACCTCGACATGCGCTGTCGGCAAGGACCCCCAACGGAGAGATTTCGATCGAAATTGATGCTCTTGGTCTTTAGCAAGAGGTGCTTCTGCGGCTCAAAGCTGAACCTTACTCAACTCAACCGTGACTTTGTCGGGGCTTGTAACCTTCAACAAATCTCGGCGCCTCAGCCCCAATAGAATGGAGTCAAGATGCTTTGGTACCTCCTGCGCTCTGTTGTCAATCAAGCAAGATAGGCTCCTGAGTTCTCGGTGCTCTAAGATGCTCTGCTGGCTGCCACCCACCCGAATTTCCGGCCAGGCGTCATGTTGAAGTCCGTTTGCATGTCTTGCAATGGCAGATCGTTTGGGTCCTCTGCACGCCCTTTGCCAAAGCCATGCCGAATTCAACGCTCTAAGTAAGGGCCCGACATCTCCAAAAGGCCACTCGAGCTCTATTGTGATAAAGTGGACCTATTGGACTTTCACACCAGCACCAGCACCACCAGCAAAATCAGAGCTGCAGCCACACTCACATGAGTGTGCCAGTGTGGAGGTGTGCTTCTGTGTACCTCTTTCTTTCTGCAGCGCTGGTCGGCGCCCTCCACTTCCGTGGCGAGATAAGGAAACTCTCGCTGTTTTTGGCTCAGAAAAGGCAAGCACGGTGCGTCGGGCTGGCATGGTAACCTGGCCTAGACCACATTCAAGAAACTTTTGTGACGGCATTAACTAGAGCTGGAACTCTCTGTCTCTGTCTCCACACGCATACGTGCATGTGTGCATGCGTGCATACACACCTACATACGTACATACCTGCACACATTGCATATACATGGATGTATACATACATGAAAATACATTACGTTGCATTACGTACGTACATGCACGCCGATGCTAGGGCGCGGGTTGCCAGCATTGTCGGTTGGTGTATGGCTGCATTGCCCGGCAGGGCAGGATTCAGAGACTAATTGCTGAGCACCATGCGCACCAGTAAGCAAAACTCACCTGAGAAGGGCACAAGACTTGCAGTGCTGGCCAGGTTGATTACATGACCCTTTGCAGCTCAGATGCGAAGAAGGTAATCCCCGCAGCTGATGACATGTTGTCAACTGTAGCTGCGGAGATCAGAGGCAATATGAGCGAGTGCACAATGAGCATGACGGTAATCATCCTCGGGACAGAGCTTGTGAAATCCATCGCACATTTAATCCATGGGTCCATGCAACAAATGTAAGCCGCTTGCTGTGCCAGGTGGAAAGGGATGGGGAAATCTGTGATCTTCCGCGCATTGTTTAGGTTGACAATACCATTTCCGAGTTCATTGAAGACGCGGGACAAGATCGGCGGAGCAATCTTCAGCAATTGCTTTGCATCACTCTCAACGATCAGGCGCTGAATCCACTGAAGAGTAATTTCGCAACGATCATGGCTTTCCTGCAAGAAGGCCATGCTGCTAGCCTCGAAACCATCCAAGCCGAAGAGGTCGAATGTCTTCTCATCCATGGTTGCGACTTGTTGTAAGGCGCAGCCATACAATAAGCTATACAAGCGAACCAGCTGGTGCTGAAAGGCCTTCACCTCCTCAAAGGTCTGGCAACTAGTTGATCTGCTGATAGCTACAACCGGATCCTTAAAACCACTCAAGCCGGAAGCCAATTCCTCTCATTCTTTTTGTCTGTGTTCCCTGCGTCTTTTTCTCCACTCGCTTTCTGGGCCTGCAGTTTGGACCTGTTGCAACTCTTTGGACCGGACTTCCGAGTTAAGCTTCGCCTTTTCCCCTCCACTCAACTTTCAATTCTGACCTTAAGGCTTCATCTTGGGGACTACTTGAGCGTTTGCTATGCCTTCCTTTAGGGCTTCATCTTCGGGACGAATTGAAGGTTTGCTCTGCCTTCCTTCCAGGCTTCATCTTGGGGACGATTTTGATTTTGGCTCTGCCTTCCCCGCTTTGGGGCTTCATCTTCGGGACGATTTTTAAGGGCTTGCTCTGCGTTCCTTGATTTCGGCTCTCGCTCTCGACCGAGGCAGGCTCCACATAGTGTCGTCACGCAAGATGACCCCACGACACATTGTCAACAGCCATAACCGTCTAAAACCATGAACCACCCGAAGTTCTCGCGTGAGGTCATCCCATGAAGGCATTGCTTCATGCACAACAGCAGTTGCTGCACCGAGGCAGTTGCGTGCTCAAAAGCATTTACATAGCACACGGACCAGTAGACACTACCACCGCTTTAGGGTTTCACCCCCGGGACGACTTTAGGGTTTGCTCCTCCTTCGTCGCTTTAGGGTTTCCTCTTCGGGGGTCTGTTTTGCCTTCCTCACCTTAGGGTTTTTCATCCTCGGGACGACTTCAAGGTTCCCGGTATGTTACCTATGTACTGCCCGATGCCTGTGCCTGTGGGCCTTCAAGCATGGACTATGCCACTATGCATCCAAGTGCGAGTGATTCTGCTTCCAAACACAGCAGGCAAGAGCCACAAGCGACACACAACAACAACAACAACAACAAAAAAAAAAACACGCAGCGGGGAACGCTCGTGTCTTTGTGAAACTTTTCCTCGCTTTGCGAGTGGCTGACCTAGCTATTGGCCCTTCTGCCGATTCCTTGATGATGGCATGTCCACTGTTACCAATAGCGTTGGTTGTATACCCACGTGTGGGTCGGAACGTGTGTTTGTTGCGGGGAGTAACTCCTCCGTTCCGGCCTGCAGCTGTTGGCCCTCTGCAGACCGCGCCGCGGCGCTGCGGCTACATGCCTACATGCATCTCGTCCCGAAGGACTGCAGATTACGGACCTGCTGACCCGGGTCCGGGAGCTGAGCATCAGAATGCATTCTGCTGTCTTCTTTGGCCCTGAACTGTAGGACCTCAATACTTGGAATTGAAACTGCTGAGTGACCAGCGGTCCCTGCCGAGGCCCGGACTCTAAGACACTGTTCCGAAAGCCTCGCTTCGCGATGCCATTGTGAAGCACTGTGATTGTCGAGCTCCGATTTTCTTGACTTCTGTTGGCATGACTCTGGCGTTCTTCCTGACTGCGAGCTCGCCTTGAGGCTACAAAGACCTCAGCCCCTCTGTCTGGGTCGGACTACTGCTCTGCTCAAGCTTGAGACTTCGGTCATGGCTGGCAATTCTTTGGACATCTGACCACGAGCTCTATATTGCAGGTTAAGCGTTTCGGAAGAGAAACAAGAAGAAGTGGTAGTCCGTGTGCTGGCCGTATTTCTTGATCAGTCGTTGCTGTTGTTGTCGCGACCGCCGGTGTTGACCTTTCACCTTCCGGTCCTGCCACGTGCACTCTGGTCAACGGAGCCATAATAGGTGTTGCCAGGGTTGAAAAGTGGACAGCAGGGGGAGCACCTCCACCTGGGCCCGTGAAGGGAGTTCCTCCTCCTGACACATCCACTCTACCCAGGGGAGCAACTCCTCCCGGGGCCATTCGTGATATCGCCCTGCCATGCGATTCAGTCGAATCCAACATGGTGCTAGCGGCGGCGGTCCATTTCGTGGAACTGGCAGAGGTGGTCCTCTCGGTGCATCCTTGGGTGCCGCAGTCGACTTTGCTGCTGCTGGTCCTGCTGAATCTGCGATCTCTTCACAGGATGTAGGGTCCTCGATCTCATCGCTGTCCGATGGCACGATGGCAGTCTCGCAGCTGATCCTTTGCCTCTTCCGAACCACAACCGCCAGAATGCGCCAAAGGGCGGTTCTCGAGCCTGATCCACGAGTCCGCTCTGGCATGGCGGGGCTGGTCTCACAGGCTTAAGCAAAAGGTATGCTCGCTTGAGGCGGCTCCGGGAAAGTTAGAACGAACTGTAAACAGTATGGAAGGCAGAGGCCGTCACTCCTATCTGCTGTAAGAACCGTCCTGAAGGAGCAGCGACCTCCAGATCTGAGGCTCGCATCACTTTCAAGAAGGGCAAGTTGCATCTTTAACTAAGCTGTATGCTGAGGCGCCCGCCCCCCAGCAACCATTGTCCTCCGTGCTAGCGACCACCTGTTGGACGTTGTCTTGACGGCTCGACCAGGCAGAGTGGGTAGCTTGATTCTCGAGATCTTCATGCTCGCTACCACTGCAAGGTCAATAGCATTTTGTCTTCGGACATTCCTGCCAATTTTTCTGCTGAAAACAGTCTAGATGAGGCTTTTTAGGCTTTGGAAGACGATTGAGATGCCAGGACAGGGAGTATCTCCACCGCCCCACCGCCTTGTTTGTGGAGGCCTGCTGTTACAGCCTTCTTGGAAGAGCTCACAATGGCTGGCCTTCCCGATCATACTTCTTCCCTGTCTTGGCCATGCAAGCACTCTAAATGGGTGCCATGATACCCCACCTCTGTGTGACTGGCTTGGAGGGAGTACGCTGACTCGTATGGAAACCTGAACCATCCGCGGCCCTCTACTTCTGGTTCCGAATCTCGCATGCATTGGCGCTGGAAATCTGCATTTAGGAGCCCAAATGCTGCAATATGTACAATGGCTCGCAACGAGTCAGGAAGTTCCGCTGTGGCGGGTGTCGAAAATTGGAGGAGAAGACGGACTGGACCTCCCTTCATCTGTGCCGTAATTGGCCTTGGTTGATGCTCGAAAGATCTTTATGTGGTCTGGGTCCTTCTCCAAGCGACAAGGATGTCCCCTAGGTCCTAGGCCTGACAGGACTTGGGAGGCGCTGAAGGGTTACACTCTCAGGACTCAATCATAGCTTGCTCATCCGAGAACCATTCTAGGAACGGCCACTCACCATCTCGAGTCATCTGTCTTTTGGTGACGAGTTGCTCTTGTGCCTTGGCCACAACAAGTAGTCTTTCTGTTAGTTCTCGGAAAAGGCTACGGTAAGTGCCTGTTTGGGCGTCGAGGTCGAGTGGTGTACTCACTTCGTGCAGGACCGTGTGCTCGTCGTCCTGGAATACGAGATAAAGCTCACGTCCGAAATTGTGGCATTTGGCTGCTCATCATGTCATAGAACCAGTTTTGCCATTGCTGTGACCAGATGACCAGATCGCCCGTGCCGTCCCCCTCCATGAGGGCCGAGAAGGAAACTGAAAGAGCTCGGCCTGGAATCAGCACAGACCATCGCAAATCCTGGATTGGCGTGGAGGGATGTAGCATGATTAAGACCCACCTGATCGAGAGGGTAGCTGGGAGTCTGAGCAGACAGAGCCACTCATGATCACGTGCCAGCCCCCGGCGCGAAACTGTGAGGGATGAGAGCAAGTCTGTACCCAAATTGGACTTCATGCCGCTTCTGAGAGCTAAGACCTCCTATGTCGTACGTTCCAAGTGAAGACAGACAGAGTTCCGGTGAAAGCTCCGGGCACCCCGGGGTCCTCTGCGAATGGTGTTATGCTCGGTTGGATTTGATCGGAGGCTGCCTCGACGACCTGGCGCAGAATGATTGGCAGGACAACTTGGTGTGTTTGGTCGGAGATCAACTCTACGACTCGACGGAGCAGCTGCCTCTAAAGCTCTTTGTGCCTGAGTGAAACTTACTTCCCCACCTCGATATGCGGCAGCGCCATTCCTCCAGGCTCGCCTATAAGAATTATTCTTTATCTCGTGTGCCATCCGCTATATTTCGCCTGAAGTGCTACCAGATCAGGCTCCCCCGTCTCGCGGAAGACGGGAACCTTCACGCTTAGGAGTGATAGCAAGCTGCTTCGCAAGTGCAAACTCCCCCCGGATTTGAATTTGGGACCCCAGCTCCAGGTCAACGCCTGCAGTGTGGAGTGCCTGTAATCACCACTGGTAGTATGAAGCTAACCGGAGGCTGCCTCACAGTAGCTGTGTAACAGTACCATGCGCAGCCTGACTACACAAATGTGTGGTTGAGGAGCCGAGAACTGTTGAAATCTCAATGGTTGGGCCCCCCTCAGGCTTTCCTGAGGTGTTTGATGGCAACTAATCGCGGCCGTTTGAGCTGGTAGCGCAACAACAACAAGAAGAACAACAAGAACAAGATCACCACCACCACCACCAACAATAACGACGACGACGACTACAACAACCACAACACCACCACCACCGCCGCCGCCCCACCACCACCACCACCGCCGCCGCCACCACCACCACCACCACCACCACCACGACCACCACCACGACCACGACCACGACCACGACCACCACCAACACCACCACCACCACCACCACCACCGCCACCACCGCCACCGCCACCGCCACCGCCCCCACCCCCGCCACCGCCACCGCCACCGCCCCCGCCCCCGCCACCGCCATCGCCACCGCCATCGCCCCCGCCGCCAGCACCAGCACCAGCACCAGCACCAGCACCAGCACCAGCACCAGCACCAGCACCAGCACCAGCACCAGCACCAGCACCAGCAACAAGAACAAGAACAAGAACAAGAACAAGAAGAACCAAAAGAAGAAGAAGAAGAAGAAGGACACCCAGCCGACCCCCCCCCCAGCCCCGCCCTCAAGCCTCCTCTCTTCCGGATGCTTTTAATTGTCTCACGGTCGGGCCATAGCTCCCTTCCGGTGAGCAGATCCGGTACCACCACCCGAAAAAAACTTCGAAGCTGTGTAAACTTGGGACCGCTCGTCCACTCCTAAGTCCGATCCGCCGGGTGCGCGCAAATCGTGGCATGAGTTGAGTCCTTCCGGCCTGTTCACAACGCCATCATGAAGCTTACATCACATCTTTGACTTGTAGGGTGAAGCATTGCAGAGGCAGCCCAAAGCTCCACAATCGCCAACACTGCTGCAACTTGGCAGTTAAACTTCACTTGCAATCAGGTTTGTAGAGCATTCGGGCATGCACATGCATGCAAAGCTCCTCCTTCTTTTCGGGCGCACCGTTGCAGAAGGCGATTAAGCAACCTGTAGCCACTTAAACAAAAGCATTCATGCAGGTTGCGCTCTCATGCCGCGCTGGCATGGCAATCAATGCAGGCTAGCGGCTGTATGAATTGAACCATTCACCCCGCAACTGCTGCAGCAAAGTGCCTCCCTCCCACCATCTGGAATATGCTTGCTGAGACCTGTCATTTTGAGGCTCTCAGGTTCGCGATGCTTGGGAGCTCTTCGACTAGAGCAATCATCACGTGTGCAGGAGTGCTTCTAAGCTAGCGGCCGAAATACTATCAGAAATCCAAGCACGAAGGTAAATCCGTCGAAGACATTTTGTTCTGGTGCTCCAGTGCCGATTACTTCGAGAGTTGCAGCATCAAGGCCTCGGCTGCATAGTTTCTCTCACGCACTTGACCACCAACGTAAGGCCGAGAAACGCAGCAGCCAATGCAGCAGCATTGCAAAGGCCGCACATATTCCAGCAGGCGCCTGACAGCAAGAAGCAACATTGCAGATACTGCTGTTTGGGGGGGGGGGTTTTGGAACGAGATGTTTACTGACTCGAGGGGGAAACTCTACGGCTGTCCTTCTCTCAGCGGGGGACAGCAAGTCTTGTATAGTGCTGTTTGGTTTTAAAAAGATGCCAGGACGACAATTCGTGATTTGTGCTCCTGAATGTCCTGCTGAAGCTTTAGTTGAAGCTGAGGAGCAAATGCGCGAGGAAATACAGATCCGTGGAGTCGCAAGGCAAATCCAACACCCCAAGAACCGGGTTGGTACCTCGGCTCACGACAGTAGCTATCCGTAGCTAAAACAGCTCAAACCTGCGGAACCACATCAACACCCCATGTGGCCAGGCAGTCAGCGCAATGCCAGTCTTTGTCGTAAGCAACAGACACAATCATGGAGCGCCTTGCGCCAGTTCCTGGGAGAAGTCAAACACATCAACGACCATATGCGACCAAAGGCGACCTGAAGTGAGAGTTTGGGCTCTCAGCCCTGGGCACACCACAAAGCAAGGCTGCTCGTCCAGCTGGGATGAATGGAGTTGGTGCTGCACTTGAGCTGAACATGGCCCCTCGGAAACATGCGGTGCGTGACTGGATAAAGACTGTCAGTGTAAAGAAGGCTGGGCAGCACCTCGCCGAATGCATGCATGCACGCAAGCTTTGACCACAGTCTGGAGCAATCTGCGTTAACACACCTCTAGACTCATTCTAGCCAGTGTTCCGATAAACAACGCGGAAGTACCGGCTCTTCTGGAAGCATTTGATGAATTTCAGCTCCGCAGCTGCACCCTTTTCGTGCTGCAGCACAGCTTCGTGCGAAGAATTCCGCTCAAAGCGATGCTTGAGTGTTCCATGAGATGTCCAAAGCACGGGTGAAGACCCCTGTCTTTGAAGCCAGGCTAGCCTGCTGACTTGCACTTACGAGAACTACGAGAACATGCCCAGAAAACCAGCCCTGCACCTCCGACCGCCATGTTTGACTATGGGTCCGTGCTTGTATGGCTAGGGCCGGCACAAGCTTGCCTATGTTCTGCTTTGAGCGTTTACGGGCCAAGCCTTCGGCTGATTTTTCGAACTATCAAGCAACAAATTGAGTTGAGAAGAACACTTTTTGTCCGCAATCCCTGGATAGATGCTGATCGAGGCATCTGCCACTTGTGTTGTCACGAGCAGCAAGAGCCACCTCGACCAGACTCTATCACAGGTTAATCTTTGTGCATGACAATGACGGCCAGCTCTCATGGAAGGGAAAGAATGGCGAGGGACCAGCTGCAGAAGCCTCAAGACCATCAGCATCTCTCTGCAAACACCATTCGGAAGACGTACTCACCGGGCGTGTGCGTGGCTTGAGGACTGCTGGATGACTGTTCATGCCCAGTTATCCGCCGGCCCGTGCAAGAGTGCTTGGAGAGTGTCCTCAACCCACCAACGGCTTCAGCGGCCAGCTCTGCAGCCAGCTCGGATCTAGCCTGTCCCTCCAACCACGAGCCCGCGACGAGATGCTGAGCAACACATGGGAATTGCATGGCCTCAAGCATGTGCAGCCATGCACTGTGTAATGCAACCACGAGCACTTCACCACTGGGTACCTCACCGGACTTGCAGGTGCTATGCCTGCCAAAAGAGGACTCGTCACAGGCACCGGAATTTTTTCGATTCCAGCAACCTGGAAATCCACCGCCGGCTGGCACAACTGGAGCAGGTGGCAATGCAAAGCTCCTCGACTCGTGTCACCAGCACAGCACACAGAGCGCAGCATCTGGCATGTGCTGAGATGCTAGCCCCCCGAAAGACGCGGACACCGGAAGGCCGGCACTAGACGTGTTGCAGTGCAAGTGATCCCGCTTGGGCCCAGGTTGGACCAGAAGGCTTCTGGCCTGCCCGCGAGTTCGTGCCCATGCCTTCCGCTACTAAGCCTTAAGATGCCTGGGTCAGCAAGTTGGGCTCGGCGAGCATCTGGCGAGCCGGAGATGCCATCGTAAAGGACACTGAACTTGATAGGGACACCTCTGGAGAGGACACGGAAATCGAAGCACGTGACGCAATGCGAGCCCCTCCGGAGACAAGCTGAGTCCAAAGTCCAGAGATGAAACTTGTCCTTGTTTCCACGCCTGCATGGCGGCATATGGCGGGGCGGAACCCGAGGCCCTCGGAATGAGGCGGAGCCTGCAGGTCTTGAGCGGGAACAGCTCGATTTCGCGAGAGCTCCGTAGGCACGGAGTGAGGCGGAACCACTCCTGGCGCTTCTTTCAAGGAGCACAGCGGAGCACAGCGGAGCACAGAGGAGCACAAAGCGCCCTGTTGCCGCCCCTGCCCGCCCCTGCCCGCCTCCAGTGCCTGTCTCTGGTGACTGGGCAATGGGCGAAGGCGAAGGGCTTTGATGGCTTTGGCTCGCCGGGGATGGCCAGTCCGTTCCGCCTTGAAAGAAACTACCGTGGGCGCGCTTTGAGCAGAAGCCGAAGCTTCGCAGCCTGCGAAGGAGAACGAGCTTGGAGTCTGTGTCGAAGTGGAAGATGGTGTCCAGGTAGAAATACTTTGGAGCAGGTCCGGAAGTGGCCTTCCGACGACATGGATCAGGAAATGGCACTCGAGTTGTGCAACTTGACAGAGGCAAGCAGGCTGGGGCATGCACCCGAACAAGGGCTGTTGACTGAAAGCCTGATCGACCAAATTTCCGCCGACCAAGTCGCCACACTTAACCAGCAGACCCATGACAAGCTTTGCTCAATTTTGCAAGGTGCCTCTTGCAATTTGTCCAGTTCGGCCATCAGCCAGACGTTCTGTCCGGTCACCATGTCCTGCCATGTGAGTGCAGCCAGAAGGGCCACTGCAATTTGGAACGGCGCTTCGCAAATCGGGCTGCAGCACCTCACATCTGTAGATTTTGGACGCCGCCTGCCAGCCCAGGTTGCACGTCGTGGCTTCATTCACGAACTGGAGTTGGCACGAGACAACGTGGAACAGTCGGAGGCATGCTTTCATCTTGTGAATTTGCAATGAAACAAAGTGCATGAAGCTAGCACTCGTGTCTCCGTCTCGCTTGGCGTAAGATGTCACAGGCCTGCCACTCCTGGTTGAAGGCGGCCTGAAGCTCCTGCTGGGAGCAACATTGATTGCCAATGCTTATCAAGCATAAGGCCTTGCCTGGCATGAAGGATGCTGACTCTGCAATGATGTGCAGAACTCGCCCCTGTCCTTGCCATCCATTTCGCAGCACTCGCGGCAACTCTGTGTGGCAGCCGAGGGAAGGACGCAGGATACACAAAACGGGCTTAGAAAATCGGCCAGCCGAAGCCGCCCGTGTTGATCTATTAGCACGTTGTCTGCCTCAGACATGACAAAAGCAGCTCTCATTCGTGATCGTACCGATGGGAGATGTGAGATGTGCCTTGAAATCGCCGTGTCGACGACCATGGAGTGCTTGGAAACGTCTGTGCGACAGGTGTCAGGGAATGAGGTGACATTTTGCTTGCGCAAACACCTTCACATGCAGATGCTTGGCCTACACTAGTAAGGCAACCAAAGAAAGCAAAGCTGCTGCCTCGCCTGCCAAGAAGTGCTGCTTGCCGCACCAGGCTTCGTAAAGCTTTGGCGTGCTCGCACCTTACAGGACCGACCTGTCGGAGGCTGCCACTGCAGGCCAGCTTTTCGTGCAGTCTGCAGGCTTCCAGCCTCACTGTGCTCGGCACGGTGAACAGGGCAAGGAGATGCTTGATGCCGCAATCCTCAGAAGTCTAGAGCTGCTCTGACTGCTTGACGGCCTCACGGCCTCTGGCCAGCACAAAGTCACGAACAAAGGACTCGGCCACATGGATGGGTCCGCTCGAACTTGCTCCACACGTCTGCGACAGACTGGCATCTTGGGAGGTACTCAAACACGAGAACCTGTCCAGCAAGGTGCAAACTTCCAAAAGCACCTCACATCGAAGCTTCGAGCTTGCGCCTCGCATATGAACGCCGAAGCTGTGTCTTGGCAGAGGAAGAAAGCCTCCGGAAACAAGACCTGGGGATCCTGTCACATAGACGGGAGCAAAAAGCAGCGATTCTGGCTTCGCTTTTGTTATCGAATGAAAACCAATTAGTGAAAGTAAGTGCAGGAGGTCCTTAGCGAGGCTTGGTGACGACCGGGTCAACCTGTCTGCCTCCAACACTTCGCTGAACTGTCCTCCTGCTCCTCCATGCGGCCTCCAAGCACTGCTGGAACACATACAGCCAGCATCTAGGACTTAGGTAGGCCCTGCCTGATGCACTTCACCAACTTGCCGCCCAATGACAACATGAGGACCTGTGAAGTCTAGACAACATCATACCACATAGATTTGATGTTTGCCGGTTTCCAACTGCTGCACATAATCGTGAGGCAATGGCATGGTTGAAGCCACTGCAGCGTAGCCGAGTGATGCCCTCTGCAGATCTGCGTCCGAACATGGCAGTGATGCCATCCTTGGGTCTGACAGAAGTGTTCATGTTGGGCGTCTTCGCCTCTAGGACTCTAGGATCCTGTAAGCCACAAGCTGGTCCAAAGGTTCGCTCCATTGCTGCGGGCAAGTCGTCGTCTCCTGAATCAATCACCTGGACTCAGCAAATCGACCATGACGCTCTGCCGTGCTTGTGCACATCACCAAGACATTCAAGCTAGCCAACGGACGCATTGAGGCCTCCTGCAAGTCCCCCACCAGCCGCAAAACGATGGCTGGATCGATGTGGGAGTGGGAGGCCGTCTCAACCTCAGCCGCTACCTTCAACAAAAGAAAACACAAAGGGAGGGGGAGAGAGAGAGAGAGATAGACACGCACAAATTCATATTTATATGTGTGTATATATATGTATATATATATAAATATGTACATACATACATACATACATACATACATACATATATATATATACAATATAATATAATATAACACAATATAACATAACATAATATATTATAATATAATATATACATACACGTGTATGTATATTATAAATAGATAATAATCATAGTAATATATATATATATACATATATATATATATTATAATATATATATATATATTCAACACACCCACCCCCCCCCGCCCTCCCCCCTCCCCCGCGCAATGATCCATACCAGCCGTCTTCCCGATTGATCTTCCACCATCTTTCGTCTTTATCTATTGTCTCCAACTACAGAAACCTTTGGATTTACAGTAGTTTCTCCACTTCACCTATACTTTCCGCTGCTCATTTTACTCCTTGGTGTCAAGTGTCAAGGTGAAAACCACCTCAATCCCGAAACGGATGCTGTTTGCTCCTGCGCGTTGCATGCCTACCGGTTGTTTCATGATAGCGCAGGCAACAAAGAAAACACCAGCCAGCTCCTCCTCTTGCGGGTACTCCGTGTTGCTTTGTTGTTTTTCCAATAACGAAGAACAGAGCTCTTCTCTCGATGGGAAATCTTCTTTCATCAGAAAGAAGCACAATACTTCCTCTTCTTCTTCTTCATCTATGGCCAGAAACCAAAAACACTCCTGCACTCTGTCAATGACGATGTTCCTTTGGCACACGTGGGGCCTCTGCAGGGTGACAGCATTGGCAGTCAATTGGCGGGGCCACAAGACCTGACATGCACTGAGGGCGCATGGGGGCGCCTGATGCACTCTTCGCCTCAGCCTGCCTGTGGGCTGAGATCCCAACCAAATTCCGAGAATCTCTCTGAACCCTTGGCGATCTCCGGTTCTGGCACGAAGCAGGGCGCAACGTCTGCGATGCTGCCCAACCTGCTCAGCTGCATGAGCAAGTGCATAGTCTTGCATTTGTGCCGTGTCGAACACCTGCTTGGGCGACGAAGCATTCCCGGCACCTCCAGCACAAAGCTCGCTTGTCGACTCGACAGTGGCAAATCTGCATCGCCCTTGCGTGAACCTCCGGTTTGTCGGCATCCGTCTCGGCAGGCCTGAAGTGGCTACACCTTTTGCAGCTGTGAGGCACCCACTATCGTCACGAAACGTTCTTGCTTTGAGCCTCGGCTGTGAATAGAATGCGGGCCGCATCTTGTCGCAGCCTGTGGGATACGACCTCAGCAGGCAAGCCCCTTGCGACCAGTCCTGAACTTTATTGCCGATGTTGCAAGTGAACTCAATTGGGATTCGATTGTTGTAGCTCTGTCTTGATGGATTGCCTGCCTGTGGCTGGCGTTGCCGTGCTGTCAGCTTGCTCCAAGCCGATTCTCTTATCTTAGTGGGTTGTTTCTTGCTGCTTCCACCTTCCATCCCACTGGGGCCCATTTGGGTTTTGGGAGTCCTGACTCACCAACGAGCTTTTAAACTGAGGCCACACGAACTCAGAAGTTCGAATCTCGAACAACAATGTCACAATGTCTCCAACCGGCACTCCAAGAACCGGGCCTTGTGGCAGGGACCTCGGTGGACAAAATGCTTCTCGCGAAAATTCCACAGCAAGTGCGGCTAAGGAATCAGCCAAACTGTCCCGCAACTCTTCCTTCCCAGGACGGGTCTGCCATGTCATATCCTTGCAACAGCGATTTTTGTCGCGTTTAAGGCGCAGTTTCATATCACAACCCGAATATGCATAACTTGTGCACATAAGGCTGCCGCCGACCTCACCACAGTGGCATCCCAGTGTTGGAACATGTCTGGCTCTCGCTGTCGAAACCGAAATGCACCCACGCAAACAAGCAGCTGAAACCAAGCTGATTGCAAGCGACCTTATGATGACCATTAGGCTCCGATGGATCGACTTTTTATTGGCTGTCCTCGACAGGCCGTGAACCGGCGAACGGTCAAATGGTCAGTGCTTCATCCGGTGCGGGCGGCTTCATCACCTGTTGCTGCCGTCAACACAACTCACACCTTGCTGTCCCACTGAGCACTGTGCGTCGCGGCCTCGCAGTTGCCGAAACAGCTCACAAGCGCCTCGGTTTTGGCAACTTTTCGGAACTGCAAGCGAAACTCTCGACCGTGTCGGTCATAGGGGACAATCTGAAACTTTGAATGCTCTTTGGTTGCTGCTACAGCACAGCCGCGCGGTCTTGTCATTCCGGACTGTGACGGTTGTCAAGCCGACGATTGCAGGTGGCAGCAGCACACACAAGCAACATGTGGCTTTTGCTGACACCCATCCCGCAATTCGACATCCCCTGAGCTGCGACAGAATTGCAGAGAATTTTGGACATGAAGCATTTAAACACAAAACCCGATGCAGTTGCATGCGCCAAGCTGCAACGATGTGGTAACCGAAATTATCGCGGATGCGGGGATTGCAATCCTCCACAACTCCTCGCCCATCACAGGAACCACGCCCGCAGAACGTGATGCTGCTAAAACGCCACCTGGAGCAACTGCGATCACATAAGAAGTAGCACATCGAGATCATCATCCATTAATGCTTTGTAGGCAAGTTGCAACACAGACTCGCGAAACCGACCAAGCTGTAGAGGCACAGCAAGCGGTCTTCGTAGAAAAGGAAGGCAGCCGTTCCCACGTGAACATACTGCCAAACGCTATCCACAACTACCTCAGGTCTAGGCATGCGCTGAACGCGAGCTTGTGCTGGCGGCGAACCGAGGTCTCTGCCGACACGATATCTTGTATCGATCTTGACTTGGATGTTGAAGGTGCCACGTCACTAGAGGTCGGTAGCCCTTCTTCACTGGCCATGCCGTCCTTCGGATCGTACGGAAGTTTCGGATTACGTTGTTAGAATGTCTAGCGCTCATAAAGTTCCAACGCACCAGTTGCAAGCCAGGCCTGTGCGACAAGCTGCCTGCATCCATCTACAATTTCCCCTATTGAGCCCACCAGCTGTTCGGATACCGACAAGCCCACCACACTCCGCAGAACCGTAAGCTCATCTGAAGAGGCAACCTGCCACGGGAGTCAAGGTGCTAGTTGTCAACGTGTACCAAGCCTTTCCTTTTTGACGGTACGAGTGGGGTCTGAGGTTCGGGATAGTTCGGGTACTGGGTTTGTCATTTGCTGTTAAAATACATCGCGGTTAGGCTTGGCAACGGGTTCACAGCTTAGGATTTGAGGTTTCGAGTGGAAGGGGGTATGTTTTTTGTTGTTCCACGCCTTTCCTCTCCTGCCCGCTGTCGCTGGGTCCGCAGTCAGTATAAGGCATTGTCTTTCGCAGTTTGCCCGGCCAGCTTTTTTCCACACCACCCTTTTTCAACAGCACGAAAAGTGTTCGGTCCGGTGCCGGATGATGTTGTCAGCAATGCTCCCTTAAAAACGCAACAACCCTTTTCCCTTAACAAAACCAAAAAACCAAAACCAACAATACCAAACAAAAACAAAACCAAAGTACTAAAAAAACACAAAAAAAGAAAAAACATTATTTCAGCACTCCTCCAGCATATAACTAGAAATATACACAAATGGAAAAGTTCTGAAATAATGTTTTTTGATTTTTTGGTTATTCTGGTTTTGTTCCTTTTTTGTATTTTGGGCTTTGTTTGATGTATGTTTGCTTTTGGCCTTTTTGGTGTTGTTAAGGGAGGGGGGTTGTTCGGTTTTCGGGTTTTTAATTACAGCAGCGCCCCTGGGAGCAAGAGTTGATAACGATGTTGTCGAACAGGCGTACCTGAACTGCCGGAAACGCAACGGGAGAGTTTACGTTGTACGGCGCCTAATGTCGTGTGCCTTTTTTTAAAATTTTAGCTTCAACTGTAGTATTCGAAGATGACACGGATCTAAAGATATGGCATTGAGGTACTATAACTGACAGTGAATGCAGCTCTCAAAGCAGTCCCAGCGCAGAGTGGGTGGCAGAGACTCCACATCGCAGAAGAAGTCCTCTTCCTCAAAGGCGACAACATGTGAGAGCTTGGGCAGCAGGGCTTCATTGTTTGAGAGTCTTGTCGCCGTGAGCGACATCCCAGTCCAAGAGTTCCTGGGCGGCAGCCGTGCCCAGAATCACAGACTTATCCGGTTTCACGCAGGCTGCCATCCGCTTGCAATCAGCAGCAGCGAGGTTCCAGCCACAGAGAGCCCAGTCTGGCAGAGCCCTGGGGCAGCTCCCTGAAAGAGGGCATGCAGAGTTCAGCTGGCTGTAGCTTGCCAGAGAGAGGCCGGTAGGCAAGCATGCCGACGGAGGCTTGGCAGCACCCACGAGAAGATCTTCCGAGAGAGGACTCGCTGCGAAGAGATGATGGTTGGTCTCGGCGATGTCCTCGATAGAGGCCGTCCAGATGGAGCTCTTGCCAGCATCTCTGACAGCCTTCTGACCCTGAGACCTCTTCTGCGCCATGGTGCTGCGGCACAGAGACTTGAACCGCCGACTGAAGTCCTCGGATGGCTTTAGAACTTTAGGATAGAGGCGAGTCCTACTTATAGTTACAAGACAAAGAGTGACAGCCATCAGTTGGAGAGAGGCCGTCATTTTGGGAGCGATCAGAGTCTGGATCGTGTTCCCAGGAAGTGGGCCTGAGAGACGGTCTCGCTGAAAGAGGCTCCCAGGCAGTCTCGCTGGACGAGGAGAGCTGGAAACTCCGAGGAGAGTTCCTAAAGCTTGGCCGAGACATCAGAGTGATGTGCTCGAAGAGGTGCGGCTTTTTGGCTCGCACAACTCGCCAAGGCTCCAGAAGACTTCCACAAGAGGTGTTCTTCTTCCGAAAGACCGTCTTATTTCCTCTCCACTCGAAGGTCTCGTCACAGAGCCATGTTCCATCCTCGGAGATGTTAGAGAGCCGACAGTGAGGCCCGGCAGTGATGATGAGGGACCTGTCGACTCGCCATCAGAGTTGTAGCCCAGGACGAGCTGCCGAGCTTCGTAGGTGAGGCGAAAGCGGTCAGAGACAGCGTCCTGCCGCCAGGGGTAGGTTTATCTCGAAGCTTCTCGAGCCGCTTTCTGAGAGAGTCCCTCGCTTTCTCACTCTTCCTCTGAGAGGCGAGTTGCTTCTTGAGCTTCGAGAGCCTCAGCAACCTCGCATCAGACTCGTGTAGTATCTGCGCTGAGCAGCGTTCTTGCGAGAGCCAGACAGTTCGCACTTTCTTCTTCGAGAGGCCAAACCTTTTGGAGAAGTGCAAGAGGAACTCTCCTGCATCAGAGAAACAAGGCAGAGTCACAGACTGCTCCATCTCCGCACGAGAGCTGCCCTGGCAGCCACAGGGACGTCTGTTCTGCGCTTGGGGTCGCCGACGCTCCCTCCAGTTCCCAGAAAGACTTGCACAGGCTTCTGAGCGTCTGGGTGAGAGGGCTGGAAGAACCGCCGAAGCGAAGTTCGCAGGAAGAGCGGAGAGGCGATGCCTTTCTCAAGGACTTACACGGTCAGAGCAGGGCTGAGAAGAGCAACTGCTAAGGTTCAGAGGAGAACACTGATCTGAGTTTTGACTTCTTCAGAGTGGCTGCTCACTAGTGCCTCGCTGCAAATGCACAGGCGAAGCTCAAGGCTGAAATGCTCAAGACACATGCCACAGAGTCCATAAGTAAAGTGTCCCTCAGAGCAGGCGGCTGTTTCTGCGGCCCAAAGCGAGGGTTCGATTCAAGCTGCTTCCACCAAGCCGGAAACGAGAGAGGACAATCTCTCCCAGCCATCAGAGAGGTGCTCAGACTCAGAGTGGGTCTGAAAAGATGGCAAAGAGTGCCCCAACTCTGAGAGATCCTCATCTCTGAGCTCAAACCAAGAGTCTCGCCCCTCCATGTAGAAGAGGTCTCCAACAGAGAGATCTCTGCGTCGGATCACCCACCCCTGCAGAGTCCACCGCTCAGAGCTGAATGCAGAGATCGCAGGAGAGAATCTCATGCTGCTCTCGAGGCACCAAGAGTCGTCTACGAGATGCAGGCCAAAGAGCTGTCCGATGAGAGAGCCGATGTCTGGATCAATCCCCAAGAACCACTTGCAGAGGTAAAGATTACAGATAAATACAAGGACATTGCAACTGAGGCACTCGCTCATAGAAACATGCCCGACCATGCTTCAGAGCTGGCCGAAGTGCCGCCAAGAGCTGGCAGAAGTGCCGCCAAGAGCAACCTCTTGAGAGCAAAAGCACTGAGGCGAGAGCAAAAGCACTGAGGCGAGAGCACGATTCACAAAAAAAGAGAAAAAAAACGTGCCATGCGCGTGAGTGTGTGTCATCCTTGCACAGCAGCCATGCTCATCTTCTCTGTGTCGTTCCTTTTTGGTACAGCCAGAGAGTCAGAGACAATGCGAACGGCTCGATCCACAGAGAGCTTGGGCGGGTTTAGGGACAGAGACCTGTTTAGGGTTTAGAGTTCAGGGATACGGGTATAAGGTTTAGAGTTTAGGGCTTAGGGTTGTAGAGTTAAGGTGTTGAGGGTGTTGAGGGTTCAAGCTTTAATTAATAAGGTACGGTTTAAATAGGGTTTAGGGTTTAGGGTTTAGGCTACGTAGAGTCTAAGGAGAAATAATTAGAGTTCTCCTAATCCTGCCAGCTCTATCTGCAGAGAGCCCGAAGCGCCGGTTCATCGAAGCCTCGGATGGGGACATATATATATATATATATCCGCCTGCGAGCGCAGCATCGCACGGTAGGCCGGAGGCAAGGAGGGCAACAGCACGTGGTCGCGGAAGAAAAGGTTGCGAGTACGCGACGCATGGCGCTGCCATCCATGTCTCCATTCTCCGAGCTCGATGTCCGCATCAGCCTCCGCCGCGCGCGGTGCGGCCCCGCGCGCGAGTTCATCCCATGCAGGGGGCTCGCTCCAGCCTTCGGCCACAAGCAGTGACCTGCTTTCTTCCGCCGCCCGCAAACAAGCAGGGGTGTGCTCACCAGACAGGGCACGCACTGTCCATGCGGCAAAAGCAGGGCTGCGTGCGGCGAGGACCGGGAGCGCATCGGCCCAAGCTGCCCAGTAAGCCGCAGGGGCAGTGCGAACCGCTTGGGCGAGGCCCAACCATTAGGGTTTAGGGTTTAGGGGGCTAGGGTTTAAGGTTAATTATTAACTGGGTTTTCCGGCCCCTAAACCCTAAACCATACACCCTAAACCCTAAACCGTGGCTCTTAACTAGGGTATACTTACCCGAAACCTACAAACCCGAAACCCTTGAACCCCTGAACAGTAAAACCCCTAAACCCACGTGAGAGCCAAGCATCACAGACATGAAGGCATAGAGGCTCCACCTCTATGCCTTGGATGAGAGTTGGCTAAGTTCAGGGTTTGGCGGTTTTGGAGTTTGAAGGCTTTCATGGTTTAGGGTTTCGGGTTTGGGGTTTCGGGTTGAAGGTTTAGGGGATAATTAGGGTTTAGAGTGGGGCAGTAGGGTTTTAATGGGTTTGTTAAATAACAAAGAGCCAAGCATCAGAGTAAGAGATCCCTCTATGCCGCCTTGGATGAGAGTTCAATTGATTGCGCTGTCGAGAGTTTGCATCGAGGCAGTTAGTTCAGGGTTGGGGGTTTAGGTGTTTAGGGTTTGGGGTTTACATAAGGGTTTAGGGCTGAGGGTTTTGGGTTTAGAGTTTTAAGCGGAGAGGCGCAGCGGTCGGGAGCGAAGCACACCGAAGCCAGAGCACAGGGCCATCCCACCTGCAGCAACCAACTAAGCCGTAATTAAACCCTAAACCCTAAACCCAATTAATTGAACCCTAAGCCCTAAACCCTTAAGCTAATAGTTAAATCAATGCAAATGAAGAGGCTAGCTCGCTGGAGCAAGAGGCTTTAATTGAATCGGCGGTAAACCGCGAACCTCGCATGGTGCATAATTAGCCCTAAACCTTAAACCCTAAACCGTATCTAAACCCTAAGCCGTAATTAGTTAAATTAAATAATTACACCACCAAACAATAAATAATTCTACTTTCAATAAGAATGCCAAGAAGCTCCGCCAGTATCGCAACCGGTCCATGATTTGAGAGAGTTGCGACTCGAACCAGAAAAAGAGAGAGAGAGAGAGAGAGCAGCCCCGTGTGCTGTGCTCCGCCGCGTGAACAGAGACCCGACCTTCAGAAATTTAGGGTTCAAGGTGATTTAGGCTTTAGGGTGCAGTTAAAGTTTTAGGGTTTGGGCATTGGGTTCAGACAAGTCTCCTCCTGCACCCATTTGAGAGAGCTTAGCACCTCAGAGAGGTGCTCCGGTGTCGGAGCATCCTCCTGAGCGAGGTTTTTGCGTTTAGGGGTTTATTAAGGTTTGAGGTTGGGTTAAGCAATTAAAGGAATTTGGATGAGACGCCAAAGGACCTCCACCTGAGCCGCCAGGATGCTGATAGAACTTCAGAGGAATCGTCATGAAAAACCCCCTTTTTTTACACCAGGCTCTGATCATCAGCTGGGAAGTCGGCCACACGCGTGCTCCGCACAACGTGCAGCGACTCATGAACAAAGCATGGCATGCAACCGCATGTGTCTCAGATTCGATTTACAACTACATCTGGCCTCCATCAGTAGAACACTGGTGGCATGCTCTACGCTGCTTTTTCGTAGCTAACCTCAAGCCTCGGTCCACACGGGGCAGAACTCCTCGGGATGCTCACATCCCACATCTCGCCGCCCGACGTCAAGGAGTAGTTGCACGACATCCCCACACTGACTTCCCAACAGAGCATGAAATTCGCCAGCGCTAGATCCCGAGGCATTATGAGCAGACGGATCTACGGGTCTACACGATGCGGCTGACCATGTTCATACTCAGAGGCCCTTGGCGGAGTGGGCTTCCAGGGAGATTGAAGTTCAAGGTCGCGAAGCCGATTCAGCAGCGATTTTGTAGATGCTACTAAGCCGCTACATTTCTGCTCCCAACCACTCACAATTCCTTCACATTCCTCACGAGTGATCATCTTAACACTGGTCTGGGAACAGTAATGGCGCACAATAGTCACAGATGTTGACTCACCGGGAAGCATGGCGGCGAGGAAGCAGCATACAAGGAGCACCTTCCAGGACTTTCAACTATCTCCAGCGCCTCGCTCAAGCAGATTCGCTTCTTTGCACCCGTCCGCCTGACTCGCTCGTGTACCTTCTGCATGGCAAATACCAGCTGGTGGAACAATAGCCTGTAGCGCTGAAATCAAAAAACCTGTCGCCGTGCTGCAACCGGCTGTCCTCCTTCATGATCTGATTGCATAAGCGATGCATGAGGCGAGTTTTCCAACATCAGGATCCGCTTGCCGGATTCGGCCTCGTAGCAATATGGCTTGATGAAGATGAAACAACTTGCTGAATCTAGAGAAACTACACACCGCATGCCACGAGAGCTCCGTGACATTCGGCATGATCATCAGTTTGGAGAGCTCCATGTCCATCCACCTGACTCAGTCCCTTATTAATTAATTGAATTAAACAACCATATACAAACCAACCCCCGGACCCCAAATCATCAAAAAAAGCCTCTTCAGAGTCAGCCGCGTGTGCCCCCCAGAGCACCGCAGGCGCATGAAGACGTTAGACAGGGACAGAATACATTAACTAATTAAGGGTTTAAAGGTTTTTAGTTTATGGTTTGAGGTGTAGTGCTTAATTAGGGTTGAATTAGAGTTTGGGGTTTTAAGGTTTAGGGTAGGGCCACTGCTTTGGCACCGTTGTAGAGCCCAGCACCATGGGGTAACAGGATTTCCATCTCTGCAGGGTTAGATGTGTGGGAAGGTGAGAGGGTTTAGGGTTTTAGGTTCAAGGAATTCAAATAAAAAGAAATGCAGAGAAGGTGCATCCCCAAAGCCCCAAGCACCCGGAGAGCCACGGGCGGGCGGGGCGGGTGGGCCACCGCCGAGAGGGCCGCTGTCGGGGAGAGCACCATTCGGGACAGCTTCCCAAACTGCCTCACCAGAACCAAAGGCAGCACCTGCACCTCCCGCAGAGCAAACAGCGGCCTGCAGGGCAAGAGACCCCCCCAAACCCAATCACCACCTCTAAATTTACCAAAAACCCCGACCCAGTTCCTGCAAGGAGAGATAAGTTTCATTTCGGCAAAGCCCAAAGGGGGCCTTTATCAAAGGGGGCCTTTTTGGGATTCAGATTGTCCGGCTACCACAGCAGGGTTGTCGAAATCGGACATCTACCAACAGAAGGTCAGGACGATCGAGGTGGCTTCCCAGGGGGGCTGTTCTAAAATTACCTGTTAAGAGAGCAACTGTTGAAACAGAAATGCTTGGACGAGGCTGCTTCTGGGCTGAAACTTATATCATCACCGCAGGAATGCTCAACGACTACAGCCGGACAACTGCCTTGGCATCCGGACGTCAGGCCAAGCATGACAACAGTACAGCTGCCGTCAACGGGCAGGAAGGAAGAGATGCAAACGAATCCCAAGGCGCCGAAACTCACGACAGCTTCTCTACAGAGACGACTACTGGCTAAATCTAACTCTGCTTGCTTGTATACAGTACTGGGCATCATCGAAGAGCTTGGGGATACCTTTAGGGGAATGTCCAGTTGAACAGCTACTCTAAACTAGTCGGTGCTCTACCTACCTGCAAGTGACAAACGCATCAAGGAGCTGCTTTCAAAAATACTAGCTGCAAGTACGGATTGTTCTCCCTGTCTCTTCCGAATGCACAGTACATTGCGTAGCTCCACTACAAGGATTTGTTGGCTTTGCTTAGTAAACAGATTCACAGGTTGTTTCTGTAGAAAGTGCGAGCACCAGGCAACAAAACTACCTGTAGCATGCCACCTAAAGCTCAGACAAGGTACTGTTTCTACTGCCGAATAACCAACAATCTAACATAACATCATCGAGGTGCGCATGCTCGGTGAAGGAGCATCTTTAGGCAGTACAAGTGCTTCGCAAAACCCCACTGCAGAACTGTCACTCAAAGCTCGCTGTGAGGGACGACTGCTTCTCCCGGCTGCTACAACTGCAATATGTCGGCTCTAGAGTTTTAGACAAGGGAAGACACTGCTTCTGGCGCAGAAAGCACTGCAGCACAAAGCCTTGTTTTGCAAGCCCTGACTCACACAACCTGACTGGCTTCAAACGTCCAGGGGCAGCTTTCGCCACTGGTTTCTGTGTACCCCCTCCAGGCCACAGTAAGCACCCAGACTAAAGCATCCCAATCCTTGATAGGCCCGTCTTTCTTAAAACTTTTGCTTTTGATGCCACCGAGATATGGAGCTTCGACGCGCCACCGTGTGTGCCAGTTCATCTCCTTCGTAAGGGTGCACTGCGGGGGCGCCCACTTGCGAGCACTTTCAACATCATAGAGGCCTGATTGCACCGCAGCATTTTGCCGCGGCCGTTGTGGCTGCCGCGGCGGCATGGCCGAAGCACTGCTGGAGCCACGAGTGGAATCGGGGTTCAGCTGGGATCGCAGTTCCGCTCGCTTCCGAAGCGATGCTTCCTGCTGCTTCAGCGCCTGTTGCTTCAGCTTCCGCTGCTCCTCTTGCAAATCACTATCTTCGTCTTCCAGAGCTATGTCGAAGAGATCTTCGTTCTGCATAACCGGCGAAGCCTTCACAAACTCTTGAGGAGTCTGCTGTTTGCCCCTGCCGAGCAATGCAGTCTCCAGTTCGTTAGACGTGATGCCTGGCTGCACGTGCTGCAGCAAAGCCGTGACAAGCTGCACTTCTGTTCTTGGTTTGTGCCCTTTCTCAAAAGGCACCTCGAGGCTCGTGTGCAGTTTTCGGAGCTCTTCAACACGCAAATTCGGAAATCCACGACTTGCGTTGTGCAGCAACAACTTCACAGATTTAGGCTGCGCTGGGCCAACCGCCAGCTTGCCAAGGTCGATTGTGTCGCTGTTGACTGCTGAGGAACATGGTGTAAGGACCTTCAAGGGAACCGCGCTCCAAGACATCTCATCTTCCACGAAAACAAACTTCAATGATTGCTGGCCTGTGTCTCCAAAATCAAGAACGTGACGCCTTCCTTCTTTTTTCATGGAAACATCCCAAACCAAGGCCCCAAAGCAGCTACACAGAAGGACTACTGAAGTTCTCGGGTCTGCAACCTTCTTGACGAGAGTGCCAGGTATTAACAGCAACGATTTCCATGCTTTGGAAATCCGTGACCAATCACCACCCGTCTCTTTCAGCAACAACGAAGCCAAGCTGCTAAGCTTCAGGTTTGCAGGGTTGGGTGTCGGCCAAGTGGCCGGAGAAGCAGTGAGCTTGCGGAGATCTTCGGAACTGAGGCTGCATTCAGGATCTTTGTCTTGGAAAACAGGCAAAGGCAACTTTCCGGAAGCAGCTACTCGTGCAGCAGTGCTCACTGCGACAGGCTTGCGGTCATGGTCTTCGCACGTCGTGCTCCCTAAAACGCACTCGTGCCAGATGCTTTTCGGCCCCAGGGAACCAGATGGAGTTTCCCCTTTGCTGACTTTCCTGCATCTGTTGCCCAAGTTCTCAATGAGCAATGTAGACCAATGCCCTTTGCTGTACGCCTCCACCTCGCAGTGGATGTCATCGTTTGCTGCGAGGAAATCCTTCTCCAGCAGCTGCACAAAAACTTCCCGCGACCACTGCTGTGACGGCCACAACAGATTGTCGACGAAACGCTTGGCAGCCATGTCATCTAGAGCACGTGCTTCCAGCTGTTGCAAAGCTTCCCAAAACTGCTTCAAGACAGTCATGGTGGACTGCCTCTGCTCGGCATCTATGGCTGCCAAGCCCAAAAACTTTTGTGGAGGGACTTGGAAAAAGCAATCTGTGCACGCGCACGAACCAACGGTCGAATAGGCAAACTTCCACATGCACCTGGCCACCGTCTGGTCCGCCTCAAGCTCGCAGGCGTTCTTTGCTTCTGCCGAGAAACCAAGCTTGTCGGCGTACTCTGGACTGAACAGCTGCTCAAAAACTTGTCGCAAGATCTTTGTGTCACCGCCCTCTGCAAGACTGAGCATCAACGCCTGTGTGCCCTGCCTTGTCTTCAAAGCAGACATCCATTTGTGAAACTCCACCTCCAGTGGTTGCGGTAAGTCGACCATGCCTTTCCACAGTCGTATGTTGAGAGGCTTGGACAATCGGGTCGCGCTGAAATGCAGCGTGTTCACGCACTTGGAACGCTTCTGCTGCAGAACCTTTTTGGCTTCCGAGGTGGAAACTCTGCTTGACGAGGGGCCTGCATCCAGAGCTGCAGCATCCGCTTCCTCTGCCGGGCGCTCCAAAGCTTCCAAACCATCTCCTCGGACCTCTGCTTCCTCCTGGGTTTCAGGGCACTGCTCCAGATCCGCAGCATTGAGTGGGCAGTCTGAGTACCCCTTCCACCAGTTTCGTCTTGTCCCCACATACAACAGGTTCAGCAGGTTGGCATGAAGCTGAGGGAAAAAGGCTCGACTGTTCTGCTCGAAGTTGAACCATCTTGAAGTCTTCGTGTTTGTGCCTTTGCAGTCTTTCGTGAGGAGCTGCTTAGCTGCCCTCCAGACCAGCTCTGTGTGCTCCTCCGTGGCCTGAGTCTGGCTCTGCATCTGGAAATCAGCAGCAATGGAATCGCTGAGCACTGCGAACAACAGATTGTTGTCCGCAGTTGTTTCCCGGAACATCTCCGCTGCACTGTCTCTCAAAACACTGTGATGGCCGGATTGCTGGTACGGTCCTTGTCGCATCTTCAAGACCACGTTGTACTCGGTCTTGAGCATACGGAGCCCGGCCTCTGCTCTGCCATCATCTATGTCGCAAACACGTCGGTGAAGCAGATCGAAAACCAGTGTTCCTCTCAAGCCTAAGCACTGCACCAGAAAATTGGCTGCTGGCCAACCAATGGGTGCTAAGTCGCAAACCATATGAAGCACTGGTCTTTGCAGCTTCTTCTGGACGACTTGCCTTGGACATTCAAAGTATCTGCGGCCGCTGGCATCTTCGATGCAGCTTCTCTTGCTAGGTGGCCCCACTGCAGACTGCACTTCTGCCAGGTAGCGTTTCTCGCCAACGCACAAGCTTTGCAGTCGGCGCTCTGGCATCCACTGCGACAACCCAACGCCCAAACCTTTGCGAAAAGCATTGTCCAATGAGCGGAGCCAATGAAGATTTGGCATCCGCTCAAAAACTGCAGCCTCTGCCGTATCTTCGACGGCATTAGCGCCCTCACGTCCAGCAACCGCTTCCTCGGAAAAAAGCTTGGACATCTTGGCCAAGATGTCGTTCTGAAAAGCAGCCCTTTGTCCGGAGGCTTCTGCAGCATCTGCGGAGCCCGGATACGCAGCAGCGAAAGCTTTGCACTCCTGGCAGAGGCAACCCGAAAACGCACTACAGGGCTGGCAATGACGTCCCGGACTTTTTGCGGGAAAACGCGGGGATTTATAAATTCCTGCAAAACGCGGAACCGTTTTGCGGGGAAATGCGGGGAATTGCGGGGATTTGTAAAGCTCAGTTTGTACTCTTCGGCACATTTTGCGGGAAAATGCGGGGATTTGTAAATGCAACGCGAACTTTGCGATGCATTGCCGATGAAAACTAACCTCTGGCATGTGTTTGACTGCTACATAGAAAAAGATAGACTGCGACACTGTTTTCCCTCAGTGGTCTTTCCGTAAGCTGCTCTCAGAGGAGCAGCAACTAACGAACAGGTGCAGTCTACGTAGTTCAACTCGTCTGACATTCATGCAGCTACAAGAAGGGGAGATTCTCGATCTGGCTTTTCCAAATGCTGCAAAGTCAGTATGAGTCTTGAGGGCTTGGTGGACTTCTTTACAACTGCCCACAACCAACTTCCCAAGAAAGCATGCCTGCCAAGGTTTCACACGCCAAACACTGCAAAGCAGAGGTCCTGAGGTGGAAGAACTGCGTGCACATTCCCAGGACCACTTACAGCCGCCAGGAGGTACTCTTTGGCAGGATTGCCCAAACGCATGCCATCCCAGCATAAGCTCAGCGACTGCGGGTTGGCGAAGCTCAGATGCATGGCGGCTCTCACGCAGGACATTTCTTTCTCTCGCCACTGTCGTTGGCCAGCACCTACACCAGGTTCCAAGGCATTGGCTGCAGCACTGCTGGACTGCTGCTGCCCCTCTTGCACAGCTTCTTGCACAACCCAAGCTTTCACATGAGGATCAATCCGCCGACGTCTTGAAGGACCAGGGACTGCTGCATGAACGCCTTTTTGCCACGCATGCTCGCCCCATTCCGTAGCCCTTTCGTCGACAGCCAGACGGAGCACCTTCAACACGTCGGACATGTGAGTAGCCAGAGCTGCGCATTTCCGAGCAACAAAAAGTTCCTGCAACTTGCGCCAGACGTTTTCGTGCCACGCAACTTCATCCGCGGCACCCTGGGCCAGAAACCGTCTCACACAGGCGCAACGTTCAGCCTCAAGCGGCTCTGCGGAACACATCTGCGCAATCTCTGCCGGAATCTCCAACATGCCCAGGTTTGTCTGTGCACGCACACATTTCTCCAGAACCAATCGCATGACAAGAGAACTGCGTTCCTTGTCTTCTTTGCTTTTGCGATTCTCGCACCAGTGAAGCAGGATGACAAACATGCCAGCCGTACTTACCCAGTACTCTTGTTCAAGCGATGCCACATCCACATCATCCAAGCGCTGTCTCTTGTGCAGTGCGGCATTTGCACTCTCTCCAAAATGATCTTTCCAATCTAGCAGAAAATGCTCAAAACGCTGCTGCCAGTCAGGTCGCTGGGCGTTTATACGTTGGTGCAAAGGTTTCTTGGCAAGATCAAAACCACAGGCCGGAAGTAATCTGCGCAGTTCCCATCTCAAAGGCGCTCCTTGACGTGGAGCCCATGCTTTCAGGCAGAGCTCAAGTCTGCTGCCATCCTGCAGCAGACCACCGGTCTGCAACAGAAGCCCCTTCTCTGCCATGAAAACTCGACGACATGCATCGCTAGCATCGCTTACTACGATGGCCTAGTGCTAGCGCCTGCCTTGCAGTGCAAGTCTCGCAGAAAAGTTTTCTGACACTGGCAAAACTGGCTTACTCGAAAAGAATGGCTTATCATGAAACCGATGCTCTTGCACGCGATTCCTTGCAACCGTGTCTCAGGACTATAAAAAAAACCAAGAAAAATGCCCTCTTTCAACCTATATCAACACTTGCGTTGCTTCAGGGGCCAAACAAACAACCCTCATGACACACCCTTGCCTATCACTTGGGCCCAGCCCTAAACAGCAAGGCAGATTCCAACGAGTCAGCATGCCCGCGACAATATGCCACACACACACACACTACTCTTCCAAATACGTGCCACGGACTGCTCGCGGCAAAAGTGGTTTTGTACAACAAGATACGTCTGATGCAAGGTTTACTTGTTCCTTCCTGTTCTCCCGTCTCGACGGGTCTCTAGGAGCTTGCAAAGGGACCTACATGACTGCCTGTTACGTAGAGCCACCAGCTGCTATAGATTTGGCGCTAAACACGAGATACTCTAGCCTCCACCTCAATACATATGCGATGCGATAAATGATAAACCATACACACTTAGGAGCTTACCTAGGGCTTTTCGCTAGAGATATGGGGATGGGCCTTCAGGTTCATGGGGATGCTACGAAGCTTGAGCCGGGACCTATGTTGCTGAAGTCAACCCTTGCGAAGCTGGACGCGTTGTCAGAAGCAGCTGAGACGTTACAACTTTGAGCATGCTCTGCAAGCTTGCAGAAACGAAGGGCAACACATACGGAATTTACGCCTTTTCGCGCACTGTTCACCACGATCCCCGCTGCGACAGAAAGCTGAGCAGGAAACAAGTTTCTGCAGCTGCTTCGTGAACCCCATCAGAGCTTTCGCCCCGAACACGAATCGACACCGGCACCACATCTGCAAGCGGAGCGCTGCTGGGTTTACCAGCATTTGCCTGCACATGGCACCTCTTGTGCATTCGTTTTGACCAGGAGTCAAAATCAAAAGCTGACGCAAATCTACTGCGCAAGTCCTAGGGGGGCGGAGGCATCATGTCGGCTTCGTTGTAGGAGTCCACTTCGCTTTCACGCTTCTCGGCCGCCTCCTCAAACAAGTCCGGCATGTCTCTTGCGGATGTCGTGGAAGCGCCGTCTGAGCCATCACCTGGAGATGTAGTTGCCGGTGAGCTGCGCGAAGTGTCGATCTTCGCCTTCTTGGGTGTCACGAAGATCTCCGCAATGCCATCTGCTTTGGCCACCACATTGCCATCCTCCAAAGCCAAGGGCCGCCTCGACGGAGGCGAGGCAGCTGAAGGAGAGCCATTCTGCAGAGCCAACGAGGTCTCCTGGTTTGGGAAGTAAGCATGCAGCATGATCTTGACGCCACTGCCATCTGCATCTGCAGACAAGGCAACGCACGCGCCCTGCTCCGACCAGTTCCTGTGAATGCGAAAGTCCTCGACGCCGTTGTTCGAGGGCAAGTCTTCGATGTTCACCACAGCGCTCTTCTGCAAGAAGCGGTGCTTGACCTCGAGTCCGGAGTCCGTCAGCCCCACAAGCAAGTAGAGGCCGTCCCGCTCCCACACTGGTGGCAAACACAAATCGCGACCACGACGACCGCGACGAAGATACATGCCCATCATGTACTCTTTCAGGCCCTTCAACTTGGCAAGCTTCCCCGCGAAGGCAAGGTCGAAGGGACAGCCGGTAAGGATTTCCACGATGCGCACCATGAGCTCCTTGTTCTCAGAAGCTTTGCCTCGAACCAGCATGCGACGAAGATTCGGGCCTGAAAGGGATTGAGGCTCCAGCGCTTCGATCAAGCCCATCAGAAACGAGACGGAGGAGGCATCCAAGCGATGGTACGGCGAATCCGCCTCATCGCCTTCAGTTGCTGTCGTCGTGTTCCTCTTGGCTTGGCTGCTTTTGGCTTTCTTGTCCTTCACAGCTTGGTTTTGCAACGAAGCCGGTAGCTCGTCGGCCTCCTTGTCCTTCAGATCTTTCAGTCGCATGCCGAGAGCATCCAACTTGCTCAGCAGATGCTGCACCACCTGCGGCCGCAAGTCCATCACCTGCTTGATTTCCCCCTTCTGTGCCTTGAGGAGCTGCTCGGTGCTGCGCCTTTCCAAGTTCACTGCTGCATCTTCGGCACTGAGCTGACGCTGCGATGGCATCGTCTAACACTAGCAAGACTTGTGTTGCCTGGAAAGGCGCGCTGCCTTTGCGAAAAACCTGTTCTTCGGAGCCGACAAAGATGACCGATGTTTTGCAGGTGTCACTGCAGCACTAACACTCATCAAGGACGACTGGCTGCAAATCCTTTGCGATCTGAGAAAAACACATTCACAAATATGTGCAACAGAAAATGCGCAGTGAAACAAGAATGTGCAACAGTTCGTTAAGCCTCATTGCAGCTCAAGCTGAAACTCGACGGGATAAACTCTACCAGGAATCCGTTACGTCCTACTCATCGGCCGTCTGCTACTGCTTTCTCGCGGCAACTGCTTAGCAATGTCAGCATGACCGAGCGGTTTTATGGCGATGCAATGTGAAAGACTGAACACGACTGCTTCTGCTTTTGTGAGTGGGCATGCAAGCTTTTTGATTTGAAAGTGACCCTCTGCCGTAGAGGCCACGTAATCATCTGGAGAAGACTCCACATTCCGCAAGGAGAGGCTTTAAAGATTATTTGGGTTGAAACAGAACATGGCCTGGCAACAGAACAGGCAGAAGGTCCTGTCAACACTAACATACACAGCATCCCAAGAACAAGCTTGCTTTAAAGATAGTGGTAAGATCTCTTTCATGGCCTATCGATGCAACTACCTCAAACCTGGCCAAAGGACCTTTGGTAAAAAGGCCCCTTTATACCTTTCCGATCATTAATGGTGTAAGGCTTAAGGTTTACAGCACAGATTGTCAAGAGTAGGTGGACATACGTTGGGCATTGTCTTCGTAGACGAACTCAGTCTCTGGAGCTAGCTTCGCTCTATGCGCCTTCGTGCAGGCAGCAAACCCTGTCTGGGAATCACATGCTCCGTAGGGCTTCAAACTTGCCAAACCTTGGGCCTACTGCCCGAAGGGCCGGCTAGATCGGGAGACATCGCTGAGTTGGCGCAGGATAAAGTTTTCTGGAATGAAAAAGAGCTGCTTGCAATGCAGAACACTGATGAGCTTGGCTATTAGCTGCCACAGATGTGGGAAAGCTGGCAGCATCCTCTGCAGGGTGCTGAGTTTACTAAATTTACAAGGATGGTGCCTGCCTGTCTTTGTCGTGTAGTATCAAGGCAGTCTACGGGCAGTCATGCTGGATAGAGAGGTTGGAGCAGCCAGTTTGCTGGTTGATACCCTGATTAGGCTTGCAACTACTGTTTCATGGCAAAGCGAGCTTTACACATATTTGGACATGGAGTGCTTTTCCTAGGGGGTGGAATGCTTGTGTGTTAACGTTTTCGGGCCTCGGCTGAAGAACGGCAGAAGAGGCAACGCTGGCAGTCATCAAGTCCGGCTTCGAAAGGGTTAGGGTTTTAGGGTTTTGGGTTTGTCCCCTCCTCCTCCAAATCGACCACCGAAGCATAGACGCCCAGCAACGCGGAGGTGGCCAAAGTAGAGCTTGCCATGGCTTCGGGGGGTGGAAGTCCAGAGGTTGCGAAAGGGAGGACATCTAATTAAATAGATTTCATACAGTGAAGGAGGAAGTACCTCCTCAAATCAAGTCACGACAGAGTCGGGGGCAGAGTGCTCGAGAGGAGAAGGGCACGGCGGCGAGAACCCAACATGCTCCTCGGGGTTCTGCTATAATTATTACTGTACTATTGTACTACTATTGTACCACTGTACTACTTACTGTAACTATTGTGCTACTGTACAACTACTGTACTATTGTAACAATGCACTAGTGTACTATTGTAATACTTTTTCTGTGCTGTTGTACTACGACGACCGAACCCCTCACTAATCAATCCCCCCCACCCGAGCCGTGAAATCTGTTGAAGATTGGGGCTTAAAGGTTGAGGTGACGCATCTGTGATGATCGAATAATGACTTGGATGGGGAGAGTTCTGGAGCCTTGCACGAATCTGATGAGGAGTATCATCTAATGGATTGTACCTAGAAGTCATGATGAGAATGGGGACTCCAGGCTCACAACACACACACACACTCACACCCTCAGCTGCATCTGAAAGGTAACTGCAATTCACAACGAACCTTTCGCACTTCTCTGTGCCCTTCATAGGTGCTTGAGCCACGATATCACGTGACCTTAGTGTCATCCTGCGCAGGGGCCATGCTTCGATGCCACTGCCTGATTTGTGCGTGTCATCCTGTTCCCAGCTACTCAACAACACTCCTCCTCAGCATACGCACGTGAAACGTGCGATATGCTGGATCATGTCGAGCAGGACAAAACTGACAGCACAGCAAGGCGATAGTACTAATCAGTGGACTTTCCACACGCCTGTCAAAAAGCATTTTTAATTCCAGGCCCCCAGGCCCAGCAACTCGCATGCATTTTCCAGCTTTCGGTAACTTTAGCTCTTCGTAAGAATATCGCCTTTGATCTCATTCGTGCCGGTGTGCACGACATTGATTCCCTCATGAGCCACAGTATCCCGAATCCAGCTGGTTCTAACGGCAAAATGCCGTGTTCGCATCACCAACTCAGAGAAGGTATCCCTGGTGCTGAGCGTAATCGCACCACTGTTGTCGCCATGCAAAGTGCTTTTGATGGATCTGTCAAACATCTGCTCCAGCAATAACTGCACATGCCAGCCCTTTTGAAGCCCACACGCCATGCCCTCCAGCTCGGCTTCTGTCGCACTCCACGCTGTTAGTGCTTGCCTCGTTGAAAGATAAGCGATGATGTGCGCATCAGGGCCATCACCTATGGAAACAGTGACACCAGTCCTTGACCGGCTGCCGCCATTGGCATAGCTGGCATCGGTGCGAATGTGGATGTCGGGGTCGGTCTTCAACGGTTTATACTGCATGCATCTGTTCACTGTGTGCCTGAGAAACCGCCATAGGCCTTTTGTCAGTCTCAGCGTTTCCGTTGGGTTGTTGACCAACATGCACGCTGCCGATCCGACCGTTGACAGAATATCAGGACGGGTACGGAGACCGACCCACATCAAAGATCCCACCTCGCTTTGTCCCTGTTTGACCCGCTTCTTGTACTCATCATCACGTGTCTCCGGTGGTAGCGTTCCCTCGCAAGGATCTGGAAGGCTTTTTGTGCCGTTCATGTGCACATAGCCTCGTGAAGCCAACGATTGAAGGATCCACTTACGCTGTGAGACCTGTACTGTGCCATCCATAAGCCTCTGGATTTGACACCCAAGATACACCAAAGAAGACTTGATGGGGCACGTCATGTCATCCCACGTCACCGTCTCTCCTGGTACGCTTGGATGTTGTAGGACGCCTTGTAGCTTGACCTTCCACAATGATTTCATCCCGATGGCGGTTCTGCGCAAAGTTTCGGCGTCCCCAATCACCCATCCATCGTCTACATATGTTGTGGCTATACCAAGCAACACTCCAGTATCCCGCTCAAGAATTTTCCACAGACCCTTGCATGCAGGAATGGGTTCAAAGACCATGACACCGTGTACATCGTTCTTCGTCGGTTCAAGAATGAGGTTTGTGATCGCTTCGTCACGGTGCGCTTCCCAATCCACGGGAGACTGTCTGAGCCCGTATAGGGCTCGATGCAAACTCCATAGAGTTCCTTCTGGAACTTCTGGAACTAAGCCTAATGATATCAGGATTGGTGCCGGTCTCACCACGATTGCCTTTTCCCCACGAAGCATCGCACACAAGAATGCGCAGCTTATATCAAAGATGAGTCCGCTCCACTCGTTGCAAGAGCTGATAACATCAACCGTAGACCTTCACATTGAATGTTACAGGATGCGTATACTCTTCCTTTGTGTGTGCTGATGTGTCCTCGAAGTTTCCACAAACCACAATCCTAACGCGGGCCTTCCAAGAGTTTAGCTCCGCATGTTGTTTCGTTGGCTCCGCGTTCTTCTTGATGTCTTCCTCCATGACGACGGGTTTACGTACATTCACAAGTTTTGAAGGTATGATCTCTGGCAGCCCGTCGGTGTCATTCAAACCCAAGTCCTGGCGCAAGGTGCTCCATGAGCTTTGTGTCCACACCTGCAATTTTTTCATGTTGCTTAGCTCCTCCTTGGCTGCATCCACCCACTTCTGGATCTCAGCCTCGGCGCCGGCTTTGAAGACATCATTCGTCATCGTGATTCCAGAGGCCTGATCCAAACCACTCAAGATAGCCTGCATCTCCTCCTCAATGGCGTGTTGCTCCTCCTGAAAGGTAGCTATGTGGTACTTTCCACTCTTCCCTTCCTCATCTGCTGGTTGCGCTGCAACTACGTTCGTCTGGGCAGTGCTAGCTGAAAGCTTGTCCACAACAATGGTTTCTGGCTCAAGTGAGTCTGTATCTGGCCTAGGTCCTCTGGGAGCGTTTCCGCTTCAGCGGTGTTCGAGATGAGACCGTGACCAAACAGGTTGAACAATGCCAATGATGCCTCAGGACCTTTCGGCCAAGTGCGCTGCTTGATGATCCTCTCCATGTTCTCGGGGTTGGTATCCGGACCGTGAAGCCTCTCACGGTGAGAATCCCGGAGGGTGCATCCTGATCCCACACAATCTGACCATCACTGCCCACCCACACTCTTCGATCACTGGTTGGATCCACTGAGACTTTCCACCTGACGGCTGGTTGGTTGAGCAACACGGGAAGTCGCGCTCGAACCATTTTCAACCTACCGTTGACCATGCACAGAATCCATGATCCATGCACACTGCTCACATTGTGACCAATGAACACACCACACTTAGCCCGTTCCTCAAAGTCACCAGCATCATGCCGTTTGATGGCTACCCAATCTCCCATCCTCGGAGTCCCTTTCGGCACCGAAATACCCATGGCCCGCATCCGAGAGTACAGGGCAGCGTTCTGCACAGCATACGTCCAATAGGTCGGACTCAAACCTGAGTGAACCAACTCTCTGATGGCCGCCTGTTTGAGCGCTTGCACTCCTCGCTCTACTCGACCGTTGATTGAGGATTATAGGGTGATGACTGGGTGTGAAAGGTGGAGAACCGGGTCCCAAGCTCCTTGAACAACTGTGCCTCGAACTTTCGGTCACAGTCGGTATGTAACCTAAACACTGGAGGTACCTGAAGCGACGCCAGCTGCGCCATGATTCGTACAGTGGCTTCGGCAACTGTGTTCGCATGCTTGGTCTTCGTGGGCTCCGCGTAGTAAAGATTCTTTCCGTTTGGCATCCGATAAACACCGATCACGATGTACTTCATCTGGTCTGCTGATGTTACATGGGGCCCTGAAATATCCAGAGAAAGATTGGCATGGGACTTACTGTCGTCACTGATGCTTCGGTGAGGCCTCACAGCTCCCCTGGCACGGACGCAAGCTTCACAGTCTTTGGTCATAACATCCCGCATGACATTTCTTCTTCAGGACTTCCAGTGCCTGCTGGTACGCAGCAAGATCAAACAAATCCGCATCACAAGACGGCTCATCTTGTGGTTTGCCTCCGTGATGCTCCGTCGCAGTCACAGGCGCATCACCATCAGGGATTTCTACAACTTCACCAGACAGAACCCTCAAAATCCCCTCCGAAACAGAAGAACCCTGACCCTGTTCCGCCTGGGCGTCACATGTCTCATCCCAGAAATCTTTGTGACCTACGTTTTTGGGAGTTTCTAGGTTCTGGTTCGGGGGTTGATGGTGCTGGTTGTCTGTGGCTGCCGCTTCTGCTGATGCCTCCGTGGCACGTGTCATCACTGCCGCCTTGGAAGAATCGTCATCTAAAGATTTCGGGTTGTGATCGGCAGCATACGGGTTCGGGTCTAAACCACTAGCACCCCTAGGAACAACCTCAGGCAGCGGGAATCCAAGCTTCACCAGATCTTGCCGGTCCTGCTCTGTCAATCGCAGCAGACCTCCTGTGGTAAAGGTGGATATCGCTAATCTGTCACCCTTACAGGGTTCGGTTCCGTGCATGATCTTGCCGCTAAAGACAAGGTGTTTACGCCTCACTTCGTGGAGACATCCTGACATGGATACTCTGGCCTTGATTTCCCTTAGCTCAGAACCCTGCTCATGATGCACCCACAGTTGCCCCCCCAGTGCATTCGCGCGCGGATGTCAAGCAAACTAGACCATTCAATGTCCCTGGAAAGTTGTGTGCATCTCTATGTGGGAGAAATGCAACGTTGTCGTTCACCACAAGCGTCGACCACGCCAGTGATGGACACAACTTCTTCATAAACGTCACCAGCACTCGAGTCAGCCAGGGACGCGCTCTTGTCATTCTAGACAGACCGGAACAACCACCGTGGGACCAAGCTCCGAACAACCATGACCTGACATGATGCTCTTCGCCCTTGATGCATTGACGATACCTAACCTGCGGTTTCAAGCTGCTTGCGCGCAAGAGTGCAAGGACCGAATCATACGTCAAATAGTCTACTCCACTCTGAAGAAGATCTCGCGCTCGGGCATCATCGATCAAAACGTCCGGGTTCTTAGGATCAAGCCTTGGTGTAAACCCCAAATCCTCATCTCTTAGGGTACTAGGGTTCGGGTCATCATCTGCTGTAGCCTGTGCGCACCACTGATGCAACTCCTCGATGTTCACTGCGACTGCTTGTTTGACATGCTGCTCACAAGGGGCATCCGAGTTTGTGTCCTCCTGAATATGCTCACAAGGCTTACTCAGGGCAACGCTACAGCAGGCTCGCCAATGCTTTGTCATCAACGGACGCAGTGCTCGGAAGGTTGCATATGCTAGGTAGGGTAGTCCGTTGTGAACTCGAAGTGGTACCGCAACACTGTCAAGCTCAGCTGTGAGCATTAGCACAGGGCCTTCCTGTTGACACCACGTGAACTTACACCCAACCTGGACAAGACGATTGATGCCGCATATGACGTTGTTGTTGTCGGGACCATGTACAATGACTTCACCGCCGCGCGCCCTCCGAGCTTCTACAACATCACCGTTGGCCAATGCAAGATCAAGTTTACTAGATCTGGGGGGGAACGCTTTCTCGTCATGACGATTTCATTGGCGCCGGAATCCAAGAGCACCGTATCCTCATCATCACCTGCGCTCGTTCTAGCTTGACTCGCAACTGCGCGGTAAGGTACAGGGGATGCACGAATCACCGGGTCATGTATGCCGTGGACTACTGCCATGAAGACATCATTCCCTGTTTCGAAATCCACGCAAAAAGCAACCCAGGTTTCACACGCAATGCCCCCCACCCCGGTGACATACGCTTGATCTATCCTCACAATGCTCTGTGTGTCAGAAATTTCAAGATCCTCGATCGGAAAACCATGTTTTTCAGTGTCCACAACATGTCGGATAGCATGTGCCACGTTGTATGGTGTGCTGACCAACTGAAACTCCCGTCTAGCATGGCTATTCACAGTTCCGGGTTGCCCCCACCTCACATACTCGTCTTCATCAAGGATCAAGTAAAATGTGCGTGATTGTGGTTGCTGCTCTGCGTTTCTGATGGCCTCTTCCAAATCATGTGTCAACAATGAAGCATCAAGTCGACCGGTCAAGTCAAGCTCACTGGCCGGTTCATCTACGTCGGAATCCTGCACATCGGACTGTCCTACAGATGGTGTGGAATCTGATGAATGCAGCGAATCATGATCTGACGACACAGATGATAAATCCTCTAATGCATCGGTTGCCCCGTCAGAGGCATTCTCACTCAGATTTCGATGGCCTTCCCCACGCATCATGCAGGCTACAGAAATGGCTGATGCTTTCGCCTTCGCCTTTGCCTTCGCCTTTGCTTGCTGATTGGTACCGTCCTGCCCTGCACCTACCAGTGCCTTCGGACCTTCGGTTTTGTTGGCTCCGGACGGTCCCTCATGCACATACGGACAGGCATCACCAAGACGACAACCGCTCTGGCGCTTGGGAAAGACACATTTCTTTCTCTTTGGTTCACTCTTGGGTCTCGCATCTGGATTTGCATTAAGGTTCGACGGGTTGCGAGCCGGTTGTTCAGGATGCTTATAGAAACACCTATCCCCGAAGGTACAACCCCCTGGCTTAGCGAGGACGGGACAAACCTGTTTTTTCTTATCGGTCTTGCCCTTTGCCTGCTTACCCTTGCCTTTCCCCTTGAATGCAGCGGCTTCCGCATCATCTACCACTGCCCTCTTATTGGCCTTCACATGCTCATCGGCAGCCAATGTTCTAAGCTCAGCGTCAATGCAGTCAAGAACCATCTCTACTCCTTTAGTGGTGGCCTGAGTCACTGCAGGCTGAATCCGCAGGATTCCGAGTTTGAGACGTAGACTGTCATGTTTGCGCTCAAGTGGCTTCACAAGATTGCTGATGCTTCGCAGCTCCTCGGAGGGAGCAGTGGCAGGTAACCGAAGTGCTAAAGCTCTCTGGCGCGCAAGCCTCCATCTGCGGAGCACTTCAATGGCTTCTTTTGCAGTATTGACGGGCTCCAATGCACGAATGAACTTAATGACGGAACTTACCTCTTCAGGGCCTCCTGGTTGGAGGATACTAGA